GCATTTAGCTTCATGGTGTTGATTCAACCTCATTTTCGCAACTTGATCGGAGCGTTAGGGAGACTTACGCATCTGCCATACTATTCATGATGTTTAACATCAGACCATTGACCTGGTGCATTTACAAACGTTTCGCCGGCATCATAATCGACGTCGTCAGTGAGAGGTGTCATCATAAGCAGAGTTACAATTTGTCAGTGGCAAGTGAAGGCAATCCCCTTGACCAATTTTCTATTTAACCGTTGTGGCCACACTTCTGCTACAAAGTAATCTCCCTACAGCTCCCGCAAAGGCCAACTTACAAAGCACTTCCACCCGACTCTTCAAACAAAATGAAAGATACCACAACATATCTAATATTCATAGCCGAAATATTCATTTTCAATTTCAATTAAGTCCTAAGAATTATTAATTCAAGAAATAGTTCCAGCTTTTCCAACCCCTCATCTTAATGATTTCCAGCCCTAAGTTTCATTCGACTAATGACCACCGACTGCAAAATTCCAACCTTAGTCCACTCATGTTAAGAAACAAAGTTCTGAGAAGAACTAGCTTATGTTGGCTTCCTATAATCATACACGACCAACTAAACACCTTCTTTGATGACTCGGATATTTAAAAAATATTAACTATTATTCGAAGGTATGAATGTTATGTATCGTATGTATGGTTGCAGTCTCCTTTTGTTGTATAGTAGTTGACTTGGTAATATTGGCAGGTAGGCCTAGAGGAACGCACCTATTACAGAGTCCATAGTACGCATGAGAATTTCCAGTCAAGAATGTACCAAGTCCACGATCCGAATTTGGAAATTATTATCATATTATGGACTCAGGACTAGTTGCGTTCCTCTAGGTCTTCCTTCCAATATGATCAAGTTGCGAAAACAAGGTCAAACAACTACTATAAACCATTTAAAGTCATAGTGAAGTTAGTCATCTTAAGAAGAATAAATCCAAATGCCGAATGCCAGGATGCTGCCTGTCTGAGGTAAGATAAAACAATTGAAAGAGTGTTTAATAAGTGATTTGAATGATTCATCTACACTATATGTACATTTAACGATACACAAGGCATGATATCAAATACGTAAAATTACTTTTAGCATGCTTGCTAATGAATCAAGACGGTCCCAGGCAGAGCGATGTGAGCTGTCATCTAAAAGAATTTTGACGAATTGGCGCAATGGGGAATCTTCAGTTTCACCTAAACTCGTAAGACCAGTGGTGAAGCCAAGTAGGATTGGTTGGGCGGGATGCGGCTGGGAAGAGGAAGTTTCAGTTGACTCGACCGGTAATGATGGTAATGATAAACCAGGTTCACCGGAAAAAATTGAATAGGTGGAGGGGAGAAGCTGGTGATGATCAAAATGTTGTTTATCCTTTTCATCCGAGTTAAGACAAGCTGATGGGCTGTCGTCAACAAATAATTCAGATGCGAGCTTGGTTTGGGGAATGAAAATAATCTGCATTTAATATAAGTGAATAAGGCATAGATTTTTCTAACTAAATTAACGCCCAATAACGGAAAGTCAAATCAATACGCACTTAGTCAAAAATAGTTCACTAACTCAGGTATTCTATGGAGATATTGTGAAAAATTCTAGACGGACAGAGGATAATAAAAGAGAACAAGCAATTTAGTAATAATTCTTTTTAAATAAAAGAAGTCCAAGAAATAAGAATGTTAATAACAATTAATAGCTATTAGGAGGCTGCTATCACTCAATGCACACCACACAACTTAACTATTCATAAGGATAAGGACCGCATATAAGAATAAATCTAATATTTACTAAACGTTTCTGCTAGGTAAGATGGAGGAAGAAGATATGGATCCAAATTAACCGCGGGATAAATAGATAGAAAGTCAAAATGTCAAGGCCAGAAGAGCCCCACACAACTCAAACCAGTGCTAAGGACTTAGTAAAAAAACAGATATTAAATTTGTCTTTTAACTTGATACCAATTGATACAAGTTGATGAAAGTATTAAACCATATGTGGAGGATAGGCCATTGGCATTGGGAACATATAAGCTCTTTGTGCCAAACTATTACCTTCAATCAGCATTGCCGAGGTCCTAGTCTCAACATGAGTGTCAAGAATATGAAACTGTCTAAGAAGAATTCAAAAACTGGGATAACACAACATTGGCAGAGTGAAGTATGGAGTAAGTTCTCAAAGCCCTCCAGAAGTGGCAAAATTGAGGTAAAACTAAGTTCAACTATAGCTGTGATTTAAGAGGAAAGGCCATACTAGTCAGGTTACCAACAGACAACCATGATTTTATAGTGGAATATTAGCATTTCCAAAATGTACATAGCCCACTTTCCAATCATGTAGATAATAGATCTAAGCTGCATGCTATCCTGAATAAGGAAGAAGGCTACGTGAAATGCAATGACATAGCGGTGGAAAATTCATCTAAAAGTACTTACAGAAGTTGTTTCACCTTGTTTTCGCAACTTGGTCATATTGTCAAGACGATCTAGTGACGTCTACACTTTTAATTATTATTTCCTAAATATTTCATATCATGATAGCTTCAAATTTACCCTTTGCTCCAAAAAAGCCTAAAAACATCAAATTATGTGATGCACAGAATAGCTCCTTTTGAACTTACGGTTTATTGGCTCACCTGACGAACAAAAAGACGTTGAACGCAATCAAGGAAATCCGCATAGATAAAGACCTCTTGACCAGATGCCGACTCAATTTCGCAGTCACCAACTAAGAATGAAATTTTTTTTGAAGGGCTCTCGGACCTTGAAAGCCCCGGAATCTGGGCCACTTGGGCTTTCCAGCATGAAGATATATGGTCCTGAACAAAATGGCCCGAAAATTGAAATAATTTGTTAAAAGCTATATGCAATAAATAAAACCAGTCAATGAAAAAGCTTAGAAGACCGGTGTAAAAATACTAGTCAGATCCAAAAAGAAAGCTTCTAAACAAGTTTGATTAAGACGATCACTCTGTGAAATAACAGAAGCGGTCTGACTTCGTTTTAGCAACCTGGTCGTGTTGTCAGACTTATTTGGACGCAGTTTGTCTGAACTCCTTGCTACAGTAATCATCATAATTCTCAGCATCAGAGCGTATACTTGGTACATTTCCAGACGTTTCGCCGCCATCGCCAGTGAGCCTTGCCATACTCAGCAGAAATTAACTGACAGTGGTGGCAAAACGTCTATGAATGTACCAAGTCTATGGTCCGATGCTAATATGTATGATAATTATTATAGCAAGGACTTCGGATAAAGCTTGACACGTTATATAGCATGTCAGGCCCCCATTCTGCACTGCCGCGGCTCGACTCCCGCTGGAGGTGTTGATAAGATCGATGCGAGGTCTAAACTAAAGTCCACCCTGGATGAGAAAAACTTTTGGGAAAACAAAGCTATGTGAAATTCAATGAAAACGACAGCTCAACTCATATCATTTTGGGAAAATTCTTCTTCCACCAATCCTTCGTCATCTTAAACCAATTTGGGTGAATACATTTCATATTACTATTTAGTAGATAATATGAAAATACATCAAATAACAAAAACAAGATATTTCGAAAATGTATGAATGATAATTCCAAAAAATATGAGAAAAAAATTGTTTTTTACGACTCAGATGTGCTAATAAGACCTTGTGAGATCAAAATGCAGTTCATTCTGGATGATAATACCTTTTAGGAAGCAAGAATATATGAAATTCAATATAAACTTAAGGTTTAACAATAGAATTGAGGAAAAATTCAACTATCTGCAATTTCACCCTCACCTTAAACGAAATGGGGTAAACATATTTCTCATTTAAGATCTACGAAAACTATAGCATGAATGCTTCTTCTACTATAGAAGGAAAGCAATATAACCTTATCAGTCTGGTTAAATGATGCTTTATGAGGATCTAAATCATTATTTACAAATTAAGTGTATTGTGTGAATATCTGGTGATTTCCTGGAGCCAAAGATAAACATAATCTTAAAATTTGATTAAACGAGGGTATTTGGATAAACATACTCATATTGAATCGAAAACTTTAGATAAAGAATATTCGGATAAGAAATAATTGTGCAAATAAAAATGAACATTCAAAATTTGTGATCTGACTGATTCGCCTAATAAAAACGCCTACTCAAAATGAATATAATAAGAGACTATGAATACCCCTTATTCATGCATGTGTTGCTCATGATTAGGCTATTTACACTTGCAAGACCTGTTGGCATATAACCGATCCTTGTGCGCTTAGTGAAACATACAATAAAATCAGATGGGGCTTTATGTAGATTAAATATCCAAAGGACAAATCAAGAATAATATATCTGAGTTCACGTTAAGATACACTATATGAAGAATGTAGTCTGAAATAATTACTCAAATGAGAATAAAACACTGCGATTTTTGATAATTTATAGTTTTTAGCCCCAGCAGTCAAGTAAAGTGGACATTCGTTACATCATGAATAGCGTTAACCCAGTAAACTTAATTCGATGAAAATAAAACAAAAATTATCGTTCGGTTTGATGTGGCTCTCACAACATTGTCACATTGATTATAAATAGAGGTTAAAACCAATGGCCGTGAATTTTCAGTCATTTTTAGCTAAATTATATTGAAAGGCTTTGGTGCTTAGAAGAATGTAAGCAATTTAATCATTTACACTACTCTGCTTACTTTTAGCCAGGCAAGGTAATATTTCTCTGCTGCCTGTCTGCGCCCAATCCGCGAAAGCACGCTTATGAGATGATGTGGCTTAGAGGAAGAACCCAAAACAAAGCCATATTTATCTAATTCCTCGACGTCTCGACGATCAACTCCATCTTGCTCTTCGTCTTGATCTTCTTCATTATCATCCTTGGGTCCCTCAGTTTTGGAATCACAATTAATTTGATTCGAAATATCCCCGCCCACATGCTGTCGCAATCTCGTAAGACTCCGTAATGATGACTTTGGAGTAATTAAATCCTCTTCGCCTTCTTGCAAAGCAGCTGAAGTTTCTAGAGCTTGTAAAAGTTTAGGCGCTACTAGAGATTCCAACTTATCCTGAAAATTTGTCAATAGTTGAATTCGATCTTCGTAATCAGGAGTCTCACTAAGAGCAGACTTAAAAATATAAAAAAAGGAAAAAGAAATAAAAGCTAAAATAACGGAGGCCTAATCCTAAGGTCAGTAGTAAAATGTAAAAGAAAGGAAGGAGTATTGAGGATATCTACTCCCTGCAGGAATTTAAATAATGTTATTCTGGCTAGCACGAAAACTAAACTAATAAAATAATCAAGTTATGATGTTCTCTTAGTTAACAATTAGAAAAGACATTTGATAAGCACCGATTTCAGAAGAGATAGGTTAAAATGGATAAATTGGAAGTTCAGTTGTAGATAGGAAGAGTAACTGGGTTTTGATGAATCTCCTAGGATAACATTGCTAGGAAGACTTTCATTTCGTATGAAAGTACATGAAGAGATTCGTAGGTTGATCTCACCAGAGGACGACTGATTCCCGTTCTACTGCAACCATTAATTGCGTCAATCTGAACGTAATATTAAAGTCAAACGGCTACACTACAATCAAGTTGACGTGAGGACTTTCATCTCGCATGGAAGTACATGAGGAAGATATTCGTAGGCCAATCCCACCATAAGATGTCGGCTGATTCTCATTATATTGCAGCCGTTTGGCATTCATACAACGTTCAGGGTGATTCAGTCCGCGAGGAATCCGTCAATGTTTCGGGCGAGGACGGACTGAGCCTTAGTTCATCATGTGACGAGCACCGTCAGAGCTGGGACTCATTCTTGCAAAAGCCTAGTCAAAACCAAGCAAAGAAGACTAATCGGCATTTTTCTAATTACTCTGAGTTACGACCTGTTTTGAGTAGACTTTAATATGCATACGCACATAAACACATTGGAGTATATATGAACTAACCAAACCTTTCTATATAATATGAGTAATATTTAAATTACAGACACACTATGAATATCAGCCACCTATCAAGGTGATTTAAAAGACTTAAATATATGTGCGGCAATAGTATAAACCATACGAAAAAAAACTCACAATACTTTTCTGCATCCCTTCAATGCAACGAAATATCTGAAAAGTAAAAATACGGGAAGGATTAAACATTTAAAATTTTTTGAAGAACTATGGTACATCGTTATACATCTCCGTCCTCCCAGGAAATAACATAAATGTTTTGAAACCCTGTTAATAATATGTGCAATTATATGCAAGGAAAAAACGAATTAAAAGGACCAATTAACAACCTGGTTCACGTCTTCATATTTGAATATGGATTCAAAAATATGTACATTGAGACTCCATCGATCGGTCTCTTGAAGCGCGACAGACGTAAGCTGGGCTCGTCGACGAATTCGATCCATTTCTATCAAAGTCTGTAGGGTGTTGTGATTCTCCCTGTCAACCTGAGTAAGAGTTGAAGAGCCCATATTAAAAATAACAATAGCTTAGTTAGCTTAAAATAAAAGTAGATATTAAAAAACAGTTTGCTAGGTGATGCTAAGATATGGGATAGAAGGCCTAAAACTTTTAGCACGGATTGAGTGCTAGTAAACACATACAAATTCGAATGGCTAATTCTAAATAAAACGAATGCCTAAAAAATGATTTATGATCAGGTATCATAGCAGTCTTAGGTTAATGGGATGACCGGTCTCTCCGATATAAAACTTGGGCGGGCATGAATATCCTTAGCTTTTCTATCTTGCCAAATGGACCTATATCCAAAGATTTAAAAACAAAAATTCCCTTTAACAACCCTTTGTAAGCGATTTTCTCTCCAAAAAATTACCAGTTTCAGAGCAATTCAAAAAATTTATTTTTATCCAGGTCACTTTGAGAATATTCCAAGCATGGATTTAATTTCATTAGAAAACATGGGATGAGAAATATGTAGATTGAGCTCACCAGGAAACGGCGTGGCATCAAATTTTGTTTGCATTTGCTTACCTCAATGGTTTTTTTAGAATAATGGATAAGTCTTCTGGTAATTAGTAGAGCTTTAGGCAAGAGGCCATATCGGAAAAGACCATAATACAAGAGGCCGGAGAGGGAACTTAGCAATATGAAATGAGGGAAGCATAAGAGGTTAGATATAATGCCTTTAAGAAATAGATATACCAAAATGGAGGACTGTAATGTTACCGTTCAACATAAAATTATTAAGATGCGATTGAGTCCGCCTGTCAATTTAAAGACATGTAGTTCACTGCTGAAGATTACAATACCCACGTATTGGACTATAATTAGTCTGATCATAAAGGGACACAGGGTTACAATGATAGGAATATAATGAAGCAATTAGGGTCATGTTCTTTGAAGTCACCTTGAAAACAAGGCCAAGTTACGAAAGAGAGGTAAAATCGAATATGGAATATAATTATTTTGTTAAATGGGAACGAAAATTGAATAAATTTTATTGAAATAAGGTTAGGAATAGAGAAAAAGTGGCTTACGTTAGTGAGATCTGATTGCAGGAGAGAGATTTGCTCGCTAAGTTGGTTTGCCTCTTGTCGAACATTTTCAAGTTCACGAAATATGCTAAAGGAGTGAAAGAATGTTTAGAACAATAGAGCAACAAAATACAAGTAATGAGATGTATTCACTTTATTTCGTCTAAAGTGATGAAGGACTGGTAGTAGAATTTTCCACAATGATATGAGCTGAGCTGACGTTTCCATTGA